TACAAAAGGAAGGGCCTTCAGGGGCACTTACTCTTTTTACTAGTAAAAAAGGAGCTGCTTTCTTTAGTCCTGTTTGATATGAAGAACAGTTTTAAAAGCAGTGACAAGTCTGCAGTAGCAATAGTGGAGAATGCTTTTCTGAATTTTAATAGCTGCTACTGCAACAGTAATACTATAGGTGCAAGTCCGTGGTAGGACTTCTCATCAGGGATGAGGAGGAAGACGATTTCATTCAGAATTCAGCTACAGAGAGCTGATCTGTAAAGGTTCTTGTTCTGGTGGGGCTGGTTTGTGCAGAAGTGAGATTAGTACTTGAGAGTCTGTAAAAAATGTTGCACGTGTAGTCATCATGCTTAGTCTGGAGGTGCAGCTGCTCTTGTGTTTAATTCAGCATCCAAAGGACTTTTAGAAGATGAGCTTATTAAGTGTCCTGTAGATGTCTTTCATAGTATTTATCACATAGCACAGTGTTTGACAAACATTCCATGAGGGGGGGAGGGAAGGCCTGAGAGAATAGAGCCAAAAGTCATTATTATTTTTGGGTACCCAACTTTGTTAATACTTTTGACTTGAGTTTTCATAGTTTTAACATTACATCACTCTCCATAAATTCACATTATACCTTCTCTTGACTTCAGTAGTAGCTATTGCTATTTATCACTTTTGTGTCAGAAGGAGAGTCAAATTAAGAATATGTTTAGCGATAACATGTGAAAGGTCATGATTGTTTCCCATCATAAGAATAAAATCCAGTTCTTAAAAATAGCTACCTGTACATGCTCTTCCTGAAGACGCTTATCTTCTCTGTTCCACTTTCAAACCCAGGTGACAAATGAAGCAAGATCCATACAGGCAAGCTATGTGTTTGGTGTATGTACACTAGGGACAGTATGAATAATGGGCTGGTAGTTCTTTTCGGTTCCTGTGACAAGCAGCCAGAGCTCTAGCTTGTACACAAACAATAAGGTGCCATGAATATCATCTCCAGCTCCTTGCCTTTCTTTGTCGTTGCAGCAGCTCTAGCGATTAGCAGCTCTGGATCCCATCGTTCAAGCCCTTTGAGGTCAGAGAAAAGTTACTGTGTTTTCTGCAGCTTGTCTGCTCCAGGTTATCAGAGAAACCTTTTTCTCCTGTTAGCTTACCCCATCATCTTCTGGCTTTTGCCAGTAGGAACTGGTATTTTAAACCCTTAAAGACTGGCTGAATGAGCTGTATTTAGACTAAGCCGCATCAATCAGAGGGATGACATTTTATTTACCTCATGCTCCATGTACATCAATAGTTATCTAGTGACACAAATATGCTGTTCTTAAGGAGGGGTTTGAGCAGCAATTATCAATTAAACGTAAAATACTGTGCAGTCGAGGTACTCCTCGTTCTATTTGGTACCATGCTGAAGAAGTATGTGCTATGGGGGAATGGCAGATGGTAAAGATGCTGTGCAAAGAGATAATTTGTAGTTTAACTAGAAGATAGGTCATCTACCAAGGACCAGCTTGCTCAGTGGCACACTTTAAGCTGAGCATAGCACTGTGGCACCTCAATCAACAGGTGTAGCTGTTGATTGACATAACAGACGGGATCCCTTGTGAGTGCATAAGTTTTCGGCATATTTACAAGAATAAGAGCTAGAAAAGGTCTGCGTCAAAAAAGGTCTGCATCACAAAAGGCTTGCTCAATATCTTGTAGCATCAAGCCCTTTTCAAAACAAAACGAAAGGGAATTTTGGTGTACATTACATTTTTTAGAAATGAAACTCCTGTTGCCTGTATTATTCCTACCAGATAAAGTAAATACTGATGTCATGTTCTGTTTTTTCCTCTTCACCTACAGCATGAACAGGTTAAACACCTTGCCAAGGGGATTTGGCTCTTTACCAGCTCTGGAGGTTCTTGACTTGACCTACAACAACTTAAATGAAAATTCTCTACCAGGAAACTTCTTCTATCTGAGTAAGAAACTTTTCTAAAAACTCTACAAATCTTCATGATATGGTGCTTTGCTTTCTGCAGTTGAAATTTATTTGATGGAGACCAAATTCCGACAGAATTTTTTTCCGATATTTATGTTTTTCTTTGAATATCTCTTGAATATTTCTACATAGCTCAGCAGTATTTATCACTGATACACAGTCACCTGACACCATTGGACATGAGGAGACTTGGTTAGTAATGGTATATTTGTTTTCTTCTGAATAATATTTCCTTGAGTCCCATATTCAGTTAAAACTTCATGGAAGCTTGCGAGCCTCAGGGGAAAGTAAACTGTTTCACAAGGCCACTGTTGTGTGTTGACTCTGAAAGCAATTGTGTTCCTGACAGTTCATTGCTGAAATAGTTTTAACAGCTTGTGGATGTTGAAGTGACCAGTATGTTAAAAAATATGCTAAGGTTACAAAACTTGGCACAGGAATGGTAGAGCTAAGCTGACCTTTGCACATGTTAAAAATACATGCTCAGAGAGTTAAAATAAAGGTATTGTGATGCATACGTGCCAAAGGGCTGCATTATGGTTGCCTAAGCAACTTGAATTCTGGCACTTTCTGGATTTCAGTGATTCTGATATCTTACTGGTCTTTTCAGTGTACTATGCTGAAGCGACTTCAGGATCAATGCATTTAGCAGCAAAAGTGACAGGTGAGGGGAGAGGAAGGAAAGAGAGACTTTGTGATTGTAACCTGGCAGAGGGAAATTTTTAAGTCAGCATTATTAAAAATGGTCACATATAATGAAATGAAAAGAGGAGGAGCAGTAAACTGCATAAGAGAAGTGGGATCTCCTCTCTGGTGGGGAGGAGAGGTTTTGCTGACCTGACCATCTTCCTTCCTGCTGCACCCAACAGTTCTTTGTGAGTCTCCATTTCAATTTTTTTTTTTCAAACTGTCATGTACGCTCGTTCAATAATAGCAAGCTACATGGTTGTGCTGGGTCGTCTCTTTTTCTGTGAATTTCGTGGAGAACTAAGCATGGAAATCATAAATTACACAATTTGAGCCTTCTGTATTGCTCTCGTTTAAGGTCTCTTTCCCAGTGTAAGGTTGTGCTTTCTATAGAGCTTAACATAGATGTGCATCTGTCCAAAAAAACTCAGATGATTTTTTTCATGTTTGTTTAGGATGCAAATTGATGTAATGAATAAGAACTGGGGGTAATAAAGAATAATGACTGTATTCAGACAGCTGAGCATTGAGACTATATGCCAGAACCTGCCACAGTCTGCTATTGCAGAAATTGTTAATTGTGCCAGTCCTTTTGAATATAGATGTTTTCCTGAACTCACCAACAATACAATAAGCCAGTAAATCTAAGTTTAACCTGCTTGTTATTATTGGGAGCCCTGGGTATGTCAAAGGCTTTTCACCGAGTCAGGGTTATTAATCAAACCTGACTCCCTTTTATTGATTAGACCTCAAATGGTTGGGTTATATGCCACCCTGTTTATATATTGCTATTTAATTTGCAGCCACCCTGCGTGCACTCTATCTAAGTGACAACGATTTTGAAATCCTGCCGCCAGATATTGGGAAGCTCACAAAGTTGCAGATAGTAAGTAATTTATCTAAATTCTTAGAAAATCAATTCACTTTTACAACGCTTGTAGGAATAGAATCTAGTCAATTTGAGGAGTAGTTGGGTATGTTTGCAGGAATAAACCACCATGCCTGGAACTGTTTCTTGTTTACCAGTGGACACTTGTAAATAAATTGGAAGAATTGAGTTTTTAGGAGAAAGGTGGGGACAGAGGGAGTAGAGTTCTGTTTTAGGCTGCTTCATGGTAACCGAAAATTGTTCTGACTACTTTATATTCACTCTTAGCTGAGTCTTAGAGACAATGACCTGATATCACTGCCAAAAGAAATTGGTGAGCTCACTCAGCTTAAGGAACTTCATATCCAGGGAAATCGTCTTACTGTGCTGCCCCCAGAACTAGGTAAGATTACAGATGATCATTTATTTATTTGAATAATAATGATAATTATGCACTGTGTTTCCTCTGAAATGAAACCAGTTGTTAAACTCTAGGAAATGATTATGCTTAAGTTTCATTGCTGCTAATATTTACTTTCCCCGGAGAAACACTCACTTTTTCACTCCTCTGGATATGCAGAGGGGCCAGAAGATGTGTGTTTGGTTTTACTAGTTTTTTACATGTTACGTTGGCCTTGTGTATTAGTACACCTGACTGCCAATTTGTATATAGCATCTTGTTTTATATAACATGTTATAAATATTGGGTCTGCAAAGCTATTCTTGTCTCTGGCTGGGTTTTGAGAACAGTATTTGGATCAGCCAAAATTATATTATGTAAAAATGACAGGAGTATAAGTGGGTTTTTTGTGACTGTTCCTGCAAAAATGGAAGTTTGATCAACTAGGGTGAAATATAGCTAAATTAGAGGAATTTTTCTTTTTTCTGTTTCAGTAGCCTACTTTTCTTAGTGAGTTGACAGCTCTTTCACTTGAAGCAGTGGATCTGGTTGATGTATTTTGAATTTGTGATATTGGCCATTTAAATATGATTACAAGTGGCTTCTTTCAACCTATAAGGTAGAGTTTTTCTTTGAAACTTAAGTATTGATTTTGCTGAATTTGTGTTGCAGTATTCCGCTTTATGTGAGGGGCATTAACTTCAATAGAAGTTGTGCTTGTTTGAGCCAAGCCAGAATTTGGTTTCAGATCTTTTTAAAGATTGTCATAAAATATTTTTGTTGGGAATAATGTAGCTGCATCAATTACCTGTTGTTGAAACACCTGTTACACAGGGTTTACTCCTTGTTTCTTGTTATTGTGGACTGTTATATAGGGAAGCTTCTTTGCTTCTACTAGTACCTTCCAAATAATAGTTGCCAAAACTCAGAAAGATAGTGACTGAAGTTAGCATGATAAAGCAAAATTATTTGTTGTCATAAGAACTTGCTTTGACCCATTAGAGAATGTGGCAGCTGTGTGCATAAATATGACAATATGCTTTTTATTTTATACAGCAAAGGAAATTGCTTTTTTTCTATGAGGTGGGGGAAGATGTTTGTTTTGACTCTTACTTGTTTACCCACCATGGTTTTTTTGCCTTTATCAATCTAGTGGACTATATGATGCTGAGTATTTTTTTTTTGCTGCGCCACTGGTAGATGAAAATTGCTCTCGTTTCCTTGATTTCAGGTGTTTATTCCTTAACATGGGTATACTTTCTTTAGCTTTTTGTCAAAGTCATATTTATTTATGAAGTCTCTTTCAACAGCAATAACATTTCAGAAGCGTGTAGTGTCTGTAAATGTACTTTTCTGTAGCTTCCTAAATTATAGCCTTGGTTTTTTCCAGAAAGTGGAAGTTAAATGCTGCACTGAGTCTAACCACCTTCTGTGGCTAATTAATGATTAATTAGCATAATTAATTGGCATAATTTCTATTACAATCTATGCCATGTGTAGCACTAGAACTATATCAGGTACTTAAAATAGCTTAGATTTTGGGGTATATTTCCAGAGAACATTACACTGAAGTCTAGATTTGTAACTTGTGCAACTTGCAAGTATATTTACTGTGCAAAGCAATGTTCTTGCTTGCTTATTAAACATCTAGGCAAACTTTCAGGGAGTGGAGTTTAGTAAATGGAGCACCAGGCTGGGCTTTGGAGAGGTTGTTTGAGGCCAGGTAGGAGCAGGCCACAGGCAAGCATGAATCTGCTGAATGATTGGAAAAAGTCACTTCATCTCTGTAGCCCTGTTTTCCCTTCCTGCAAACCAGGACAGTTTAGAGAAGCAGGCCCCTTTGCAGACAGTTTTACTCTGCCAAGAAAAGGTGGTATGCGAGTGTTACACCCTAATGAACGGACTGCTAATTCCATAGTCGCCATCTGAGTGAAAAATAATTTTATCTGCTTTCTCCCTGCTAAATTTTTAAAATTGAATTATAATGTAAGGAGAACTATCCAAATACTTTGTGCTGTGCATGTTGGATAAATAGCCTTTTCAATGAGCAGGTCTTATTTGCATTAGTTGGAGGTAGTGCTGTTCCATTTAAAGTAAACAATCTTTCCTCTCTCATTATCACTTTCATAATTAAAGGTGCTGAAGGCTTTTGACTGGCTTAGTTCGGGCACTGGTGGACAACAATGAGTCATTAGATGCTCATTTACCAGGGAGATGGGCACAATATAAACACCAGAATAAAACAATGTATTTGAATGAGGAGAAGGGGAGGAGTACATTAAACTGGTTTTTAAAGGCAATGGCAATACGTGCAGAAGAAGGCATGGAGAGTAAGGTATAGAAAAGGCCACAGACAGGCATTGGGATCACAATTTTGGAATGGAGAGAGATACCAATAAATAAAACCCTGCAGTCTGCCCTTAATTTCACCTGATGTGATTGAGCATGGCATGCACTGGTAAGAGGGCTGGGGGAGATCAGTATTATCCTCCTCTGTGTTTAGCAGAGAATACCTGTCACTAATTTAAGAAAAATATTCTTGCCCAGGAGGAAAAGAGGGGTCTAGAAGAGTGCACTGGTGCTCTGGGTGAGGGTGCTTGTCTGTAAATACAGTACGTGTGAGTGATGAACACAGGAAATGGCTGGGAGTAGGTGGGTGTAATTTGCAGCTTGTTTTTATCATTTGTCTCTCAAAACCCCGTTCATGAGGAATGGTGGTGGGCAGTCATATATAAACTTTAAAGAAGCGCTGGCATTTTTTTCCCTAGCATTTAAAAGGTTATGTGCTGCATTGCGAGACAAATAAATCATGATTCACTGCAACAATGGAGTTGCAGTCAGTTATATAAATTGCCAAGAAAGCACTAAATCTGTCACTTTGTGTATTCTGACCATTTAACAATTGGAACGGTGTTTGGAAAGAAAGCCGAGGAGAAACAAGAACCATGTAAAGTGGCAGATGCAATTAGTAAGATCAATGATTTAAGTGTTTTAAGTTCATTGTATGGTCATCTGGGTGGACCCATATGTGCCACATAAAAGATTTTCTTAGTGGAGTCAGAAGTGTAAGAGTAGTATATGGTGCAGAATATTCACAAAGTTGTAGCTAAATGTAAATAGCCACCCAGAGGATGTAACTAGCTTATCTGTAGGTTTGTGGTTTTGATGTGAAAACAAATGGCGTGATTTTTAAAACCCGGACTAATATTGACTGTGTTCGTTACCCTGCCGTTCGTTACCCTGCCGCCAATACACACGTGTGTGTCTGTGTGCACATACACAGAGTTCGCTCATGTTTATGCCTGTGGGAAGAACAGTGGTTTCTCAGGATGCATTTTTAATTACCATCCTCTTTTTCTACAACTGAATGTTGGCAGTAATGGCTTTTAAGTATCCTATTCAATGCTGTTCTAGTTTATCAAATAATTTCCTCAGGTAAAGGGAGACACTATCAAAACTGTGAAGTTAGATACATACTTGAAAAGTAGAAAATTCAAGCTCTTTAAAAAAGAAAAAAAACTTGATAGGGTAAGTAGCCATGTTCCTTTTTAAGGAGGGTGAAACATTTTGTAAATTAAATCTGTATGTCAGAATGGCTAAGTAATTCTTCCATCATTTTTTTGTTTTGAACAGTTAAATTATCTTCTGTGGATAAAGGATTGGCTTTAAATAGAAAGTTCAAGGAATCCTGCGAAAAGTTTCAATATTTCCATCACAGGAAGACATTTTAAAATTTAGGCTTTTGAAATGGCTCTAGAATTTGTGAATGAATATTATATTACACAAAGTAGTTGCTGCAGTTGTTTGGTCAAGTTAATGCTAATCAAAATAGCAGTTTACTTAGGTAATTATAACAGGCATGTGCAAACATAGGAATCACTTATTTCACAAAAGATAGTTCTTTTCTAAATATACTTAATGTAAATGCCAAACTTTTCTTATTTCAGTAAAAACTGTCACTGCACTCCATCTGTGTCACAACACAACGCTGCTCACTCCTGCAAATACAGGTCTGTGGTGCTTGTTGGAAGCTTGAACATCCCGGGGCTCTTTAGACACCAGCTCTGAGCACTGGAACAACTAATTGATACCTTGCAATTTTAAAAAAATTACCTGTTTCTGCTGTTGGAACTAAGGCAAAGGTGGTGTGAGAAAGTAAGGAGCTTTACTAAACTTCCCAGTGGATAAATAAAATAACTTGTTTTCTAGGACTACTGATGTAGCAGTTATTAGTTAAGGAATAATAGAAAAATGTAAATAACAAAATAGGTCATGGACAGATCATTTATGTAAGAAAAGCATCTCTGAAAATTCGTGAATAGTCTGATTGTGTTTCTCATTTTAGGCTTATTTTAAGTTAAAAAACCGAAAAAAACAACAACAACAAAACCCACCACTTTTTATGTGTTTAGAAAACCAGGCTGATTCCACAGAGTACTCGGTGGGAGTTAAGGTGTATGGGAAGAGATGCAGTTCCATTATACCCAGAAAGATGTTTTCTATAGCCTGTCATCTAGATTTACACCACAGGCATTCATTTCCTTACACAGCTGTAATTCTTGCCAAACTTCCCAAGATTCAGATTTGATCTTACATTAGTTTTTAAAAATATGCAAGTCCTACTGTCGCTTCTCAAATGACTACTGTGTGTGTGTAGGCTTTCCTAATGTTGACTGTACTCTGATTATAAGTACCATCAGCATAATAATGATGTTTCTGTCAGCAAATATTTCATCTGTTCTGTTGGATCTCTGGTAGGTAAGAGTACCGTAATTAGAGCCAATCTGAGCAAGTGTTATATTTGTTGTTAAATTTCGTTCATTTTACGTGTTTCATAGTACTTAAAAGTGGTTTTGCTCTTCTGAGTTCTTGTCAACCTGTGTTTGAATGGAAGTTTCAAAGGTGCGGGGCAAAAGCAATTCAGCAAATCCTTTTTGAACTCATATTTTTAAATTAACTAGATTTTGGTCTGATAGGGACTCTTCAAAGAGAGAATGCTCTGT